TATCAAATTCTTCCGGAAATTCTTCAAAACTATATCCGTGAAAAGCAACTACTCCTTTATTACTCACTGCCGACGCGTTCATTTTGTTCGATATTTAGCTTTCTGAGGATATAAACCATTGGCGTTGTAAACCATTGTATTGTTAACATAATCTTCACAATTAGAGAAATTTGAATGAAGGTTTTTTAAAAAAATTTAAATAAAATTGTGTTTATTCATATTTTGATTTGTGTTCTGCCTTTTTTTTTCATTTTAAAGAATCAAATATACTTCCTTTGAGTAATTGCATCATTCAACTGAGGGGGTTATTACGCATATCTAAATGAAGATAACGGTACGTCTCAAACTTAAACTCAATACTGTTTTCATAGAAGTACTGGGAAACACTTCTTGTGTGTAAGATAAAATTATTGTTTCTAAAACAGACTTTATCAAAAATCTCCAAATAACAATTTGTAAAAGCTCCGAACCGAAAATGACTTTTTTGACTTATACTCAATTTGTTTTGTCAAAAAAGTCTTTGCGAGAGCGACTGGTGTTCGAACTAATTTTCGGGAAATGGCTCTTCTGTTTCTATGCTTGGATTTCTTTTTTACACCTCCCAACAGTTTTCGAACTGCTTTGAGTTATTTTCGTCCATTGAAAATTTTTCCAATCTCACAAAAAAGAACATTTATTACCTGTAGTATCCCTCAGTTCTATTTTTAAGCTATGGAAAGAGTTTTTTAACAATTTTTTTGGTTGTAAATTTGTGAAGTATTGACAATTTATGTACTGTCTTGTAGATATTATGTCTCCATTTTTTACTTTGGAAATGAAAGGAATACAACGCAGTAAAGGAGTTTTTGTATCACCTACTATAATATAATCTATAATATCACTATAAATCATTGCGGAATGTCTTCTTATAATGTCGTAAGAGTACTGAGTACATTTTCCTTTCCTTATAACCCCTGGCTGATTTAGTCTTTTCGAGATCTTTGATGATGTATGCAGGAGACTTTTTTGTAGATTTTGCCGAAACTTCAAAAACTTTCTCTATAAACTGTGGCTTGTATCCTTTTCGGTACAGAATATGGTATTCCGAAAAATTCATTCTATTCTAAATTTTAAATTTTCGTTTAGTATACATCATGAACGATTTGTTGTACAAAATAGATAAAATATCATTTTTTTCACTCGGAGGATTTCCAGCAGATCGACTTTTACGACAGTTCAATGAAAAAACGAATTGCTGTAATTTGGGGAAAAGTTTTTACCATGATCCTCAAAGTAACGTTTATTGATTTTTTTAGAGACTACTTTGCTCTCTCTGCAAATGCAGCTTTCGTTGCATTCCCCTCATTGTTGAGTAAACTTCGAAGTATTCCCTTGCAATTTTTTTAAGTTCCCCCATGTTCTGTTCCTTTATCAGCCCAAAATTTTTCAGAAGTGTTTTTTCGATGGAATTTTTTTGAAAACTTGTAATGTGTCGGTGGCATAAAATGTTTTTGTTTTTTGAACCCTGACAAATCTCGAAAAATCATCTACATCAAGTAATAAATACTTGACTCCCTTGATTTGACTAGCTAAATTGTCTACGAAAGCCACGTACTTACACCACTTTTCTTTGATACACTTAAAAAAAGCTTGAAGTCGTCGGAAACGCCTGATTGGTGGGCCAAAATTTATATACGATGTCTCGGTTTTTAAGAATTGTTCTACTTTCTTTTTTGGTAGAGCACTCGCTTTTACTCAAGTTTCGCTTAGAACCGTACGCAACTCTACCCCTAGAATACAATCTGTTAAGTCCTACCTGTTCGAAATTTGAAAGGGATTCAAGTTCTTCTGTTTTTTGCTCTGGCATTCTTGTTAATAACCAATTTAGGTGGAAGTTGAGTTGCTTCCAAATAAGTAAATATCTGAAAAGTTTTTTTTTGCTTCAGATTCTTCTACAATAGATTCTTTTGTATCACGATTATCGAATATGATTTTGAGTGAATAATTGGAATTGATTCGAGGAGAATTCAAAATCAATTCAATAAGAAACTTATTGTTACTCGTTTTCAAGCTCGCAATTACAGTTCTGTAAACAGAATCAACAGTTTTTGGTACAATCTCCTCGTTTTCTTGTTTTTGTTCCAAATTTTGTTTTCTTGGAACGTACTTTGTGATTCATAAACTGAGTGCGGAAGTAAAACAAATTTTCCGTACTATGTCAATCGTTTATAGACAGAAGGGGTGACGATAGATATCAATTGTTACCCTTTAGTTGAACTTAAAATAGTTCTTCTTTTATAGAGACGAGTTCTTTTTTGTTATAGTTTGATATTTTACTACGTCTTTTTTCGGAAGATCTCGAAGCTCCTTTTTTTATAGGTTTACTAAACACTCGCTCAGAAACTGAACGAAATTTTTTTATGGAAAAATGAGAATTAATTGTTTTCGAAGTCTTTGGGAAAGTTAGTGAAATATTGGAAGAATAGAGTCGTATTGTGTACTCATCGTCCAAAAAACTTGTCTCTGTTCAAGCTAGTAAGGAAATTATTGATGGAACTGAGCCACTAATAGAGCAATATCTAAGTGAAACAACTGTTTGTGGGTTTAAATAAACAAGTTAATGACCATAAGCAACAGATTTTGCATCTTGATACCACTCTTTCAATTGAGATCGTAGACCTAGTTGTTGACTTAATGTATTTATTTGCAAACCATCTCACGGCGACATGAAGACTGTATGTGCATTTTGCAACTCTACATCTTTTCTCAATTGCTTTGATGAAATCAATTTTTTCGATGTATAGGCTACCCAGACTCCTGTGTCCCCCTGCAGTGGCGACTTTCACAATCTTTTCACAAGAATCATCAAATATAAGCAGATACTTAATTCTGTTATTGGAAAGATTTTGTACTCCTTGAATAAATTTAAGTTTTTTTTTGTTTGCATTTGACTATGAAGAGGTTGATAAGGTTGATTAAAAAATTTTGCCGAAGGCTAGTTGAAAAATACCAATTTTCAACCAATCAAAAAAAGATGAGATTTCCCAGATCCACTTGGTCCAACTAGAGAATTAAACAATCGTTCTTTGGTAGATATTAACTTTCTCATAGCTTTGGAGAAGGTAGAATATAACCGACTGTGTTGATAAGATAGCTATCCAAGCTGTCGTTTCTTCGAATGTTGTGGATAACATATTTCGAACGATTGCACAAACGATTGCATGTAGGTGCAAACAACTTGCATGATTTTCATTAAGGATTTTTTTCTTCAAAAGGAAAATCCTAGTTTGTCCGTCCTTAGAAATTCCTAATTCTTTAACTACATTGTTTTCAATACATTCAATATCCAAAACAGTCAAACTCACTCTGTTTACTGTTTTCTCTGGAGTTTTTTTTGGTTAAAATGATTAATAATTGAACAATGCAAGATTTAATGAGCCAAATTTTTTAACATACAAACAGAGAAGGTATCTAGTCACATGACCAAGAAAGCATGAACTGGGGAGACTAGGTGCAACATTACAATACCCAGGTTCTTCTTTTGTAGTAGAATTCTCAGATCCAGCAGAGTCATGTAGAATTGCATTTAGTCTAATAATAATGGAGCTTGCACAAAAATAATCCAAACAGGATTTTCCGAATCCAATTTAACTTCCAAAAAGTGATTTTTGGTGTTTTTTTTTCAAATTTATGTTGGGTTCCAAAAAACTACAGGCACAAAGAAATAATTTTTTCATAATGTTTTTTTTAAGAGTTTTCCTTTATAATCTCAAAAAGTCTTCATTCAATTTCTGTACGTTCATTTTCTACCGTGCTTTATCCAATAAGGGTGCAACATTTTTTGAGTGTCTCTACATAACCTAGTATTGAAGAAAGTATATCGAGTAATTTATCATATTCTTCTCTTTGCAGTTGTATATATTGATTTTTTTCCATTGATTTCCATTTTTACGTTATTCAGAAGTTCTATTTTTTTTGGTATCGGATCGGCGTCCTATGTGAACTTTTCTTCTAGGATTATTCACTCAAAATGAGATATTTGTGGTTCTACGTCTAATTTCTGCATGTTTAGTAAACTTTGTGATTCAATAACAGTTACTGAAATTTTTGGGGACTTTTTGTTGTAGAACAATACGGATCAGTCCAAAATATTGTAAAATTTCGAGATTAATTTTTTGCAAAAACCCATATTCCAACTTAAACTGTTCACTGGGAATACTAATTGAAAAGTAATTTTCAGAATAAAAACTTAAATTACGAGACAAAAAAACCTTATGTTTAATATACAGTTAAATAAGTTGTTTATGTTTTTTGTCTCGTAATTTAAGTTTTTATTCTGAAAATTACTTTTCAATTAGTATTCCCGTTGAACAGTTAAAGTTGGAATATGGGTATATCTGATAGAAATAACTTGTTAGTTGAACCTAATAAAACATGACAAAGTCTGACACTCCACCAAGTTATTTCTATCAGATCTGATGAGATTGATGAATAAACCGTTGAATGATGTTGAAGTCTATGGTATTATTCTACTGAGGTCTCGACGTATAAATGTGGTGTATAAAAAGTAGTTAAAAGCTTATTTTTGTTTCTAGCGGAAAAAATTGCAAGCAAATGGCCCAAATGATCAGCCTTTGTGAACGAGAGAATAAGTTAAGCAATATCTCTCTAGCAAATACTGCTGTAAAATCAGTTATTGCATTACTTAATGGTCATAAAGGATTGGGTCATTTCGAAGCTTGATCACGGGTAACACTTTTAAGGAGAGGAATTTTTGTTTGAACCAATTGTATTTGAAGCGAGAACACACGATCACAGCTATTTTTCCAAAAAAGAATGATTGTTTCATACTTGGTTTGATGTAGAATTTAAGTCCTTTAAAAAAATTGTGTTGATGCAAGTTGCAGCTTTTAATTTTTCAAGTGCCAATCGCATATCACTAAACATAACCAGCGAACCGTCAAAATTTAGAATTAACTTTTTCGTGAAATGTTTTTGTTCAATTTGGTTGTTCATTGTAGCTGGACCGATAACCAAAAAGTTGGAGAACGGCAGAACTTCCACAGCAGAACAAGATGGACAAAACATCAATTCAGGGGTCTTTTTTTTCATTTTTCCCTCAATTTTTTGAACCTTAAAATACGGAAAGTGAAACGATTGATTTAAAACACATCAATTTCCTAATTTTAAAAAAATTCTGATAATTTTTTTTACATATAACACTTTTTGTCACCAATCGTTTGTTCAATGGATAGAAAAGACCCCTATTGTAAAAAACAAGATGAATGTCAATGTAGAACCTTCTGCAAACGATTCGAACTCCATTATGATCAGCTACTGCCATGAGCAGAAGCATGTAGTACAGAAACTTCTGAAAGAACTCCGGAGAAGTGGAGTTAAAAATATTTGGATAGATGCAGAAAATATGCATAAAGGCAAGGGAATTATCGAAACGATGACAGAAGCAGTGAATTCAGCAAAACTGCTTATATGCTGCATTTCTAACGATTATAAAGACAGTAGAAATTGCATGAAGGAACTGAAGTATGCAACGACGTTAAATAAAACAATCGTTCCAGTTGTTGTTGAGAAAAACTTCGTACCTGAAGGCGTCCTGCTCATGTGCATTGAAGACAGTTTTCGATTTGATTTATCAACTGACGATACATTTGGTCCCCAATATCAAAAGTTGCTGGAGGCGTTGGCAGACTTGTAATTTACCAGATTGAAACAGTCGCTTAGCCATTTACTATTCATTTTGCCACAGACCATTAAATACAACTTCCTTCTATTTCAACTTGTTCTTTTTTTAGATTTTGTACTAATCAAGCATATATTGTAGATCGACCACCAGATTAACACTTGCAAGTATGTACCACTATTAAAGGAAATTGAATTCATGAAAATATAACGCTTTTGACAACCTCTTCGATCAAACATGACATATTCAAATTGGAATAATCACTTTCAATTTTCTTCACAATGAACGCTGAAGCCTTCCTCTTTTATGGAAAAAATTTTGTAATTAAGAAGACGTTAATGGGAGAAAATTTTGCAATTAAGAAGACGTTAATTCCATTTTAGGGATTTATAACCTTCTCACAAAGAACTCGTTTTTATCTCCGATAATCCCCTGATGAATCTTGAATAAAACTGGTTATACACAATCCCATTTATTGGTAAGAGAAAATCCTTTAAATAAATTATCAAGTTTTTTTCTACGAACAATCATTGTAGCGCCCCTGATTCAGATACTTGGGTTCAACTTCTTTGGCTAAGGATCTAAAGAACAACCTTTCATTTCTCAAGTTCATAATGACCCCACTGTGAAATCACAAGACAAACGATAGAAAAAAAAATGAAAAAATTTGAAAGCAACTGAAAAACCATGGACTGAAAAATTTTATAAACTTAGAAACAAAATTATAAACTTAAAATGTGCAAAATTTAGTTTTGTGATGTATACCAATTCAAGTGTTTATTTAGAACAGAAGTATTTTGAAGATATTGATTCAAGGTATCCGAAAAAAACCTAATTCAAAATCTGAAAAATGAAGGAAACTAGTTGTACAGGTAGGAAAAATATCTTGATGCATTTGCTTGATGAATTTTTTTCAGTTAGTTTTCATTTCAGTCACATCAAAATGACTGCTGCGCATCGCCGTAAGAGTTACTGTCCAGTGCAAAAGAGCCGAAATATCTTTTTTGTTGAACTTAAGAAGAAAAATTCCTTCATTCTAACTTTATCTTAACAACTTGAGCTAGGAAATTAGGTGTCTTTTGTTTTTTGTCTGTTTCGTTAATTCTTGAAAGCAAATTATTTCAACTCAGCTTAAGTTTTTGCACTAGTTTTAAACTGATTTGTTTTGGGGCAATATAGTCAATCTGAATAAAAGCCACCCAAAAATTAGGTTCTTCCTATAAACTTAAAGTGCTGAAATTGACAAAATTATCGAGTTTTTTTTTACTAACATACACGTTTTGTCAAGTAATTTTAATTTTAAATTATCGATCGTTCAACTGTGTAAGAAAAAAGACTATCAAAAGTTCCGCTTGATTTATGGTTTCATCCTAACAAAAGCTGATACTTTTTATCCTCGAAAATGAAAAGTTTCTCGAAAATTCTCTGAGCGTCAAAAAAGTTTTCGAAGAAGAACTTCGGAACAGCAATCTAGTTTATTTGAAAAGGCAAAATAAAGAATTGTTCACAAAAAAAACAAGATAGGTATGAATATCGTGTATATTGACGAGCTGCTTTTGTACTTCTATTTTCAGGTATATTGCAACTAGCTTGATCAATTTCAGCTGTGATACGAGTACTATGGGATGTCTCTAGATTCAAAAATTGACCTTCTTTTGCAAAAAATATTTGCGATCAACAAAACAACTCCGTCTAGAAAAGAAGGAAAAAATAAAAATGACTATTCTAACCAAAACTGAGCATTTTTGTTAGCAAAAGTGAATCGAAGACATCAATTTTGTTATTTTATTCAGAGCTTCTTTGATTTGTTTAAATCAATTTAATTTCAATGTAAAAAAGTGTTTCATTGCATGTTCACAGATAACTGTGTGAATGCGAACCAACAAAAATTTCTTCATTGACATTCAAAACCAATCTTTGTCAGAAATTTTTATTCCTGGTATTAGGTTCAAATTTACTGATGTATCTTTGAAGTTTTTATTCCAAAGTTTTTATTTTTCTTCTAATAACTATCTGGATTTTAGGAAAAATCAGTCACCTTTGAAGTTTTTCACCAAAGTTTTTTTTTCTTCTAATAACTGGCTGGATTTTACGAAAAGTCAGTCCCCTGAAACGCAGTAGCAATCTCAACTTTGCAAGCCTGATTGTATAATTTGGGTAATGAGTTCCTCTCATCTGCACCCCAGCTGATCAAGGCCAGGGGCAATGGTTCTGACTTTATCAAATTATATGAACTAATTCAAACGAAATGAAAGTCAATACCGGGAACCCGTTCTACCTTTCCGAGGTAGCAGTGGTGGTCATGACGCTACAATCTGCACGATTTTGCCTATTGATTGTACACACCGGGACAACGCCAACATGACTTGGCGGCTTGGGCATTGGCCTTGCTTTGACCCACGAGTATCGATGCTTCACATAACAGTGATTGATCATTGACTTTCCAACCGAGCACCTATAGGAGCAGAGCGGACACTTTAGCACCTCAACACCTGTGCTAGTGTCTTGGTTTGATGCGAAGGATTACCGACTCAGTTGAGGTGCTGAGACGGTCGGTTTTGATGCGCTGATCAGTTTTACATGCGGGTGACATTTTTGCATATGCTTTGTCCAACCGCTGACATACACATAAGTCTTGTTCCAGTCGCTGGGTTGCTGGGGGATCTCTACAGTTCTTTCAGTTCCTTTATCAGTTTCAATTTCACTAGCGGAAGTCTGGACGAGGGTTCTGAGTGATTATCTCTGAGATGCCTGTACATCTCTTTTTTGCTATGGAACATTCTGCCACAGTTTTCATTAGCACATGAAATTGTTTGCGATCTTTTGCCGATAGCATTGGCTTTAAAATCCCTTTAAACGCAGTAGCAATCACAGCTTTGCAAGCCTGATTGTATAATTTGGGTAACACCTCTAACACCCCCCCTTGAAATACTCGGCTACACTGTATGTGTATGTCTGTGAATTGTAAAGACAAGCCGTTGAACCGTTTTGAAAATACAGCCAATTCCATCCAAATAAATCTGGAATTCACTAGCAAGTATCTCTTAATATATCATTTTTCAGCACATATCAAGTTTGAGGTATCCGCAATCAGGAATTGTAAGGGTATTCCTCAAACGGATAGCGGATACCGCCGTTTGAGGCTTATTATTTAAGAAAAACTTAATGAAGAAAAGAACACTTGAAAATTCCGCTTAGTTTATGGTTTCAATCTGAAAAGAGCTGTCAATTTTTGTATTTTCGAAATTGAGAAATTTCTTTCACTGAACTATAAAACAAGATATCTCGTAATATATCAATTTTCAGCATATATGATGTTTGCGGTATCCGCAATCAGGAATTGTAAGTCTGTTCCTCAACCAGATAGTGGATTCCGCAAGATGTAACTGGATTCTTCAATTTGGAAGCGCATACCGCAGTTTGAAGGCTTAAGAAAAATTTAGTGATGAAAAAACCATTTTAAGTTCCGCTTAATTATGGTTTCATACTAGCACAAGCTGTCATTTTCATATCTTCAATATTGAAAAATTTCTTTCACTGAACTTTAAAATCGTTATCTAAAGAATAACTTCACAACTGTTTTGTTTGAAAGAAGAACTTCACAAATGCTTTGTTTAAAAAAAAGTAATTTTTTCGCTACAAAAAAGATGAGTATGAATATCTATAACGGCCATGACAAGGTGTATATTGACCAGTGCTACTGTATTTCTAATTTCAGGTATATAGCAATTATAGTGACCAAGTTCAGCTGCTATACGAATACCATGGGATGGTTCTAGACACCAAAAATGACTTTGGGTTGCAAAAAAATTTGCGATCAACGTAAAAACTTTGTTTAGAAATGAAGGAAATAAAACAAGCCTGTCTATCCCAACCCAAGCTGATCATTATTTTACTTAGCAAAAACTAATCAAAATTGTCAGTATATACAGAGCTTCATCGACCTGCACAAACCAATTTAATTTAAATATGAAAAAATGTTTCATTGGATCTTCACAGATAGCTGTGAGAACACAAACCATCAAAAAAATTCTTCAAACTGCATGTGGGTTCCAAAATAAAGATGGGTTAGTAGTATAATGGCTGCATACAATAACATACATTTCGAATTAATTTTCAGCAACATCAGCTAGTTTTTTAACATGAGCAACAACTTTTCAGCTGTTTTTGCTGAAACATAAAAAAAACAAGGTCAAAACCTGTGAAAATGAGCAACTGCGTGATGGTAAAATCATTTTTCAATAATAGCTCACAACTATATCAACAGAAATGTGTCACAAAACTGGAAAGATCACAGTTTTGCTGTTCCTTGGTAAGCTTCACTAACAAAAAACGAGTTCACACTTGTTATGGAAGATCAAAGTGTTTTTTTTGTGTGTGTTTAAAATTTTCAGCTGCGCAAATTTAACTTTTGAAAAAATCTGAAAAAGCGTAACTAAAAATTTTGAACAAAAGAAAGCAGAAAAAGCATGTTGTTAGGTGGTAGTGGTGCTAGCGGCAACGCACTACCAAATATATATTTTCAGAACTTGTTCCAAGATCATCTTGAGTGGCTATTTAGTTTCGGTCCGGGTGGCCTTCTCATAGAGTTATTCGGATAGTTTCCAAAGTCTGCTTGTCACGCTATCTACTTTTGGCCGCTTAGGTTTGTGCATTTCCTCAGTTTAATACCGATCCTATTCTTTTTCCTATTTTTCCTAGTCTCATTAGATCTAGATGTATACTGATTTATTGCAGAGTTACAGGAGATGAGAGCAAAAGAATTATAACTTTTATTCTGAGCTCTCTGAACCACTGGGGTTTCAGTTTTACAAAATTAAAATAAGTTTCAGTCCAGGCTCATGTGGTTAGCATTATTATTTTACAGTGAAGTATTTTCAAACTGGCTCCACTCATTCGGTGTTAAGGAAGCTTCAAAAACCTAAGTCTTTCATTGGGAGAGTTTCGGAATTTCCTGAGTTCCTGAAGGAGCCGCTTGGAGAGTTGTCTGCGTGTGTCTTGGATTTTCGTGAATCGAGAGAAATCGTGATGATGGGCAGAAAATTGATTATAGATTCCTTTCTTCCTTGTCAGTTCCATGCTTTATATCCAGAAAAGGTTGAAACTGCAGCAAGCAAAACAATAGATTTGCCATTCCAGTGATCATCTACATTTTGCTGCTCGTAAAATTTAGTCTTTGAAATCTTTTACAGATTTATTTCCGTACTTAAGTGATTTCAGTT